GCTTTTAATGACAGTGAGCCGTAACACGTAAAATAAACCCATTAATACAATCAATGAAAAAATTACTCTAACCATTTACGTCTTATGGACAGATAAGTTATGAATAATATTGTGCTGCCAAAAATGATTAATAATAATGTGACTATTGTGACTACATTAAGGCTGCCCAGTAACAGATTTTGTCTAACGGTAGGCAGGACTAGTGCTGTTGGATCATCTTCACAAGATCCAAAATCGGAAGATCCAAAGTTTATATGCCGATCGGAAGATCCTAAATCGGGAGATCCAGCGTTTATATTGCAGATCGGAAGATCCAAAGATCATGGATCCAAAAGTAAAGTCATAACCAGAAGTACAATTTTACATTGTGAAGTAAACTTATGAAATAAGACTGTACGTTTCACTTTGGATCTTACGATCGTAGTTGGGTCGGAAGATCCAAAAAGGGTGGTGAGAGGTAAGCGAAGCCCCTCAGGGGCGATTTGGGCCCTTGTGGCTACCCTTCCCTCAAGACCGCTGCGAGTCAGTTAATCTGTACTGTGTCATTCAGTCACAGCCTACAAGGGGTGCCACTGTTATCACTAAAGGCAGCGGATCTATGGTGGTACAACGGAGACACTGGGTGTAGGAAATGTGGGCAGTCAGAGGAGACTGCTGATCACCTACTCTACGACTGCACAGCTCTGAACGAGGTAAGGGATGGTCCTCTTGGAGCAATGACAAGGGGCAGACACCTTCCTCAGGAGGAGCTCATAGACAGGATGCTGAAGTTCATTAAGAAACTCAGGTTTGACAAACTCTGAAGTACCATGTGGGGAGCGCAAAAAGCCCATCAGTGGCTGACGTGCAAGAGGACTAGGTCCGCCCCTACAGAATCAATCAATCAAGATCCAAAAAGCAATATGTCAGATCGGAAGATCCAAAAGTATGAACTGTTGCGTCTCTCAGATTAAAGGCGTTCAAATACACATATAGGGGGAGAAAGTAATAATTAATTGAAAACATCACATAAGAAAACAAATAAGAAGGCACGAGGCTGATGACAGCGGTTTAAACACCTTCAATATGAGAGACGCAATAACTCATTTCATATTATACACGAATCATATTATCATATCATTCAATACATAAATCCGTTCAAATTTTTGAAGTACCGTATATATATACATATATATATATATATATACAGGGTGAGTTTTAATTGAGTTCCCCCCAACTTTTTTCTACATTTATTAAGATATCAACTCCGGACCACATCAGATCATTGTAGAGTAGTAAGTACTTCATTTTGACTTGGTATAAATTTTTGGCCGCCATCTCGGATCCGTCATATTGGATACAACATTTTTTTTTCAAACGTAAAGGTAGGGTTGTGACCCATTGTTTCAAACTAGATTTTTACGCTAAATATGGTGCTGCAATCCGTTAAAAAAAATCTTGATCCATTCTAAAGTTATGAGACCTTTTTATAACTTTATTTTTAGCCCATTTTAACACTGTGCATTTACAAACGAAGACCATAATCTCAAAATAGTGCTAGATAAAGACCACCATTCATTGTCGACCTATTTTCACTTGGGTATGACGGTTCTATTTTTTTCAGCCGCCATCTTGGATCCGCCATTTTGATATGTGATCAATTATTTTAAATATGAAGGTGGACCCATCATTTTGAACTACTTTTTTGTGCTGAACTCAATGTCGCAATCCGTTCTTCATTTTCATATTTGGTTTTTGAAATTTTGACATTTTAAATTAAATTATTGTAATATTTCATCAAGAAAGCTTAATAACAAAAAACGTATTGCGGCATTGAGTTCAGCATAAAAAAGTAGCTCAAAATGATGGGTCACAACACCAACTTCATATTTAAAATAATTGATCACATATCAAAATGGCGGCCGGGAAAAATAGATCTGTCATAACTAAGTGAAAATAGGTCGACAATGAATGGTGGTGTATAATTATCTTTATCTAACACTATTTTGAGATTATGGTCTTCGTTTGTAAATGCACAATGTTAAAATCTTTTTAAGTCTTATCTGACCGCAAGCAGCAGGTTGATGTTGCGGGTATGTTGTCAAATGAGAGTGAGGTTTTTTGCAGAGTGCCCCAAGGCTCGGTGTTAGGCCCTGTTCTTTTCCTTATAATGATTAATGATTTGGATAAATGTATGTCCTGTACCTCTGTGATTTATGCGGATGACTCCACTTTCTTAAATAGTCAAGGTACCTTTAGTGAACTCATGGTGCTGTCCAAACTTTCCCTCAATGAAGCTAGGAACTGGTTCAGTGTCAATGGGTTTTTTATGAATCCTTAAAAGACTCAAACTATTGTTTTTAGGTTAGGTCGCAAACCTGAGGAAGAAAATAATTTTTTCCTACAGTTACCTAACAATGTACATGTTCTCTCACTGATTTGAGAAAGCAAAGTGGCCAATTCGCTCATCAGTGAGACAATGTTAACATTGTCTCACTCTAATTACTTTGTCTCACTCCAGATTTGCAACGTGAAGGCACGAAATAGTGAGCGCGTAACATGCAGGCAACGTCGTATGCGCGCGAAATACGTTGGCAGCACTGGCTGTAAATCAGCTGGTCAGCTGTTGTACTGTTGTAATTGTCACTTCACATTAAATCTTATATTAAAAGTTCACTTCTGTGTAAAAATAGGTTATGTTTCTTCACAAATTTATTTGTTTTATGGTAACTGTAGGAAAAGTATAATGTGCAACTCGAGTTCAAAGTACAATTGCCTCACTCGAGAAACCATTCCTCACTCGCCTACGGCTCGTGAGTAAGGATTTCTCTCGAGTGAGTCAATTGCTCACTTTTCTCACTAGTTGCACAAATAACTATTTGTCAAGTGTAAATTTATTAGGCATAGATTTGGATAGTGACTTAAGCTGGTCAACCCATTTATATAACTTAAGTAAGAAATTGTCAGGAGTTTTATTTTTAATTAGACGTCTAAGAGATTTTGTTCCTCCTTTGTATGTTAGATCTATGTATTTTGCTTTTTTTCAAAGTCTGTTAAAGTATGGTCTGTTACTGTGGGGCAACTCCACCCACATTCTAATAATTTTAAAGCTTAAAAAAAAAGGCTTTAAGACTGTTGACCAATTCAGGGTTGAGGGACCATTGTAAACCTCTTTTTAAAGCAACAGGTATCCTGACAACTGTAAATTTGTATATATTAGAGTGTGTTATTAAAAAAAAATTTTTTTTTGCTCTAGTAATAATTTTCACTCATATTGCACAAGGGGAAGATCTGCTTTGGATAGGCCCTACACCAGACTAACAACAAACAGTACAGCAAAGTTTTGCTAGTATATCGCCATATCGGTAAAAATAGTAAATTGTTTTGCAAGTAAAATACTTGACATTCCTTCTACTCGGCTAAAACAAAAGTTGATAGTTTGGCTTGCTGACCACCCTTTTTACAGTTTGGATGAATTTTTTGCAGAACACAATTGTAATGATAAAATTGTTATCTAGTTCTTACCTAACCTTTCAAACACTTTGTTTAAGTACCTCACTTTTTGTTTCTGTATATACCTCTGTGTTTTTCAAATGATTTTTAACTATTTATTTTCTTGTTGTCTTTGTTATATTTAGTGAAGATTCCATGTTATAGACCATGTTATACTATCTAGAATCTATGGCCCTTTTTGGCACCTTTTTTGTTGAAGAGGTCTATTGTAACTCTGTTATTTAATGACCAATAAAGATTTATGATTTATGATTTAAAATAGGATTAAAATAAAGTTATAAAAAGGTCTCATAACTTTAGAATGGATCAAGATTTTTTAAACGGATTACAGCATTGTATTCAGCGTAAAAGTTCAGTTTGAAACGATGGGTCACAACCCTACCTTTAAATTTGAAAAACAAGTTTTGTATCCAAGATGGCGGATCCAAGGTGGTGGCCAAAAATTTATAGCCAGTCAAAATGAAGTACACACTACTCTTTAATGATCTGACATGGTCGGAGTTGATATCTTAATAATTGTAGAAAAAAGTAGGGGGGGGGGAACTCATATATAGGTGTCCTATTGTTTTTTACTTTTGGAAGATATACCAATTGTAATAAATCATTGATATTGAGCGCTCAGGTTAAATTATTTATTTATTCCTCTAGTTGGAAGCTCTTTAACATTAATTTACAATGATGTTATGTCACTATAATGTTTGGTTGATCATAGAATAAAGATTGTTTGATGTGACATTACTACTGTACTGTATAATATTTCAATGGGAGTGTGAATCACATTCTACTGTTCTTAGCTTGTTTAGGATCTTACAGAAGGGAAGTTGTTCACCATTCTATCTAAGTATCATTCTATTTAGTAGTGAGTGATAACTCCATCCAGTGGTGCTTTCTAGCGGCATTCACGTAACCCCCAAGCGAAATACGGTATGACAAATGTTTGGTGGGGAATAGATTCAAACGCACTTGTACCCATATTCTACTGTGTCATTATTTTCCCTTTCTGTCATACTTTTTCGAAGTAAACAAGTAAAGGGATACAAGTGTGTCAAATTAACATTGATATAGATTAACAATATAAATATTTTCAATAATTTTTTATATTTTTTCCTGCAACGAGTAAACAAAGACTACAACTACTAATCTGCCAATGATAATAATTGTGAAAAAATCATTGCAATTACAGTGAAGGCTCAACTTTGAGCTCAATTTACTTAAAACTTACTTTTTGTCACTTATACCCTTTCTAGGGGCCTCTAATGTATTCATATTTAATCTTGAATAGTAAATAAACATAATCCTGACCTCAGCCTGAAACCACAGTTCTGAATGACTGAAATTCCTATTTCTTGGGCTTTTATAGGTAGGCATTACTAAAGGGATTTTTTTCATTTCTGGTTATTAAGCTCGATCAGGAAGTTTTATCTGTTTAAATAACTAAAGACAAGCCCAAAGCTTTAAAATACCTTCAATTTGTCAAGGTAAAATATATGTGAAATAATAAGAAACACTTGTATAACGGTTTAAATTTATTGTGATAAATTTTGTTTAAACAATGCCTGCAAATCAAATATTACAATTAAAAAGAGTACAATTCATGCCGATTTCTCATTATTATTCTAAATATGTGTATAGCAGTCATAAAAATGTACTAGGTAGCGTAGAATTGGAATGATATTGCATTACAAAATGTGATTGCAGATATCCAGCATACACAATATATAACATATGTCAAACGTTAGTATATAGTATTAGTTAAGCTTATACGGAAGGCTATGAGACGATTAGAGAAGGCAAAAAGAGAGTTATTAGGTATAAATATTCCAGTGAAAAGTACGAAGATGAATCTGAATATTTAAAAACTTAATAAACAGGGAATTTACCTAAATCATCAAACTACTTAAGGCTAATTGAATAGTTTGTGTTATTGCCTTGTGATACTAAATTTGCTGCCAGTGTTAATGTCCTACCATAACAGCTAATTCAACAACCTAAATGTGAACCCATATTAAACATGACAACATCACTAATATTTTACATGAGATTGCTACTGTAATATCGTTGTTTCCTGTTGTGTTACAACTAAATAAACAAAGTGATGGTACTACCTCAATAATATAATGCCATCTAAAAGTAAACATTTTGTCTTTAATTTTGTTAACCTATTGACAAAAATACATATATATTATTGAAGCGGACATAGTAAAAAGTTTTATTATATCAACTAAATTAAAATAACCATTTGTAAATTTTGCTTAAAATATAAAGTAATAATACAGCTGACTCAAAATAAAAAGTAAGTAAAGGGTGTCCCAGTAAGAACGCCGGATTTGAGGAGCGTCTTATCCTTATCTGTATTTCAATAGGAATTCCCAAATTATCAGCGACGTTATCAGTATTAGGTCCCATTTGTAGTCATGAATCGCTACACGACGGAACAACGCGTGGTCATAGTTAAAGTGCACTACAATCACGGAAGCTGCGCACTATTTACGGCCGGGACAATGCACCAAATGATCCATATGTCCGAAGATTGATTTATAAGTTCGAATAAATTGACTCAGTTCTATTTTGGGGATATTTAAAGTCGCTTGTTTTCTCCAATAACCCTCAAACAATCCAAGACTTGAAGGAGGAAATGATTCGTGCCATTAATGGAATTCAACAGGAAGTGTGAGAAAAAGTGATGGAAAACTTTGTCAAGAGATGTCGAGCTTGTCAGTATTCAGCAGGTGGGCACTTACAAGACATAATACTCAATTATTAATCGGAGATACTATGCTTTAAGATTCATGTTCAATATTGTAAATTTAGTAAGAAAATATATGGTTTGTTAACATTCCAAATCCGGCGTTCTTATTGGGACACCCTTTATTATGATACAAGGATAGTCAATAAAAGGTAGCCCAATTATTAAAGATGTTAAACCTCTGCAAAGGGGAAAAAGTGTTGTTAGTCTTAAATTCCACTTAGAAAAGATGTAAGAGATTCATTGGACAAATAATTCTGTAATATCATTTAGTAATGGTGGTATTGGTAACAATAGCCTAAGTATGAAGCCTACTTACTTTTTCAATGTCAGCATGTTTCTTGTTCTATATAATTTCATTTGTAAAATTTTTGACATTTTAATTAATTAATCAATACTTAATGTTAAATTTATGTACTCAAATTAATTTATTACATAAGATATATAAATGTGTCACATGGTATTTACTCCTCGAATAGAGTATTTTCTTGTATTAAACATTAGTTACGTGCATATTTATCCACCAAAAACTTCAGAACTACAGAATTTAATGAGAGGTGAAATTTTAATAGCTACACCTTAACCTAGGAACCTCGGTTTTTACTTTTTCCAAAAGTTACACCCATACCCACTCAAAAAAATATATGTATTTTCGCAAGTTTTGTAATCAATAAAACTTCAAAAAGTAGCTCATAACAATTTTGAAACTTAACTACTTTATTCTCACATAGGAGGGTAAATGTGAACAGGCCATTCAATATACTTTAAAAATTGGTATAGCTCCATTCAACTCAGCTTGCTTCAAAATTATTGTTTATGTGTTCCTCTATAACAATTTGTATTTATTGATAGTAGAATTATTAAAAAAGTCGAATATTTGAATTAGGGAATATTAGAATGGCATGAACCTGAAAATGTCAGTTAAATTTAATACAGGAAGTGTGTAGTATGTTTATAACATTATCGACAGCTGAGTTGAGATGGCATTATGACCTGATGAAGTGTTAACTAGGCAGGGCTGTATACAAAAAAAGTATTTTTGACAACTTTGACACCAATAACAACTGAGACAGATCTACAAGGCACTCACTGTATGGGACTGACAAAACAACCATTCACACTTTGGTGATACAAAAACAAAGAGGTTCACTAATGCACTGAACTGTTCAACCTGCAGATATATACACAAACGTATTGAATCATTCTACTAAACATGACAAGTTTGCAATCCTTCATTCATAATAACACTGATAGTTGGTTCCATATTTTTAAATTTTTTCCTGAAAAAGTAAGTAGATTTTACAGGATGACATATGTTTTATTAAAACAAGAAATATAATTCCTTAGTCAAGTAACTAATCCGACATTTTACTTCATCTTTCTCAAATTCAAGGGATACTATGCCCTGATGAATAGAGCACCTGGTTGACTGAAGTAAAATAAATTCAACCTCAAGTCAAGCTGGAAATGGGCAATTTCTTCAGGGATAGGTCTGAATGTACATATTTTACGGAGGGGTGGAACAAAAAAAGTGAATCTTGTCAAAAACGGCATTTTAAGACAAATTATAATTTAAGTGGTTAAAAAGGACTAAACATTATATTATGGCAAATAAACTCCCAGATAGTATTGTGAAATTCAACAACTGATTTCAATCTGATGGCATCTTAAACTATCAGAAACATCTATAAATTGCAGTTGTTTGTATCAATTAAGGTTAGAAGATTGAATAAAGAAAAAAGATCTACATCATTGACAAATGTTAGTTAACACGTCTGGACCAAAAAATACATTCAGCGCCATTACGTTCAGGTCTGAAATAAATGTTAAGGCGAGTTAAAGACTTGTAATAACTGTCAAGGTAATGCTGATAAGTGAAAGGTGAAATATTCGCTTGACTGTTCATTACTTAAGGTTTTATATTCATTCTGGCGACGGTGTTTACAAACTTAATTAGGCTCTAGGAACATTTTGGAAACTTCAAATAACAGAACCTATGTAGTTTAAATTTTAAATATCGAATAATTCAGTAAATAGCTATTCCCAGGACATTTTACTGGTTTAAGTTCTATACATAAATAAAGCTTTTTAGTAAAGTTATTTTTTTTAGATACTGATTCTTCTGATTCTAAAATACGCATGGTTTGTTACTGTCAAATTAAGAATAATTTTACTAGAGGAGGCGTTCTATAAGCTAGCGCAAGGGACAAATGCTCCAGTCAATTCAAGGGAGTTTATGGCCATTGAACATATATATACATAGTATATCTATGTCAATTTCTGAACAACTAATTACATTAACATTTAACATTTTGAGTGACTTATAGGACTTGGTTGAGAGGTTCTCAGTTTGGTGTTTTGAATATTTCAGTGTTAAAATATATTATTTTAACAGTAAGCTTAATGCTGGCTTAGTGGTTGTTCAACTACCTCTTAAGAGAGACATAAATATGATTCAAATTTTTTTGTCAGAGTTTACTGTTTAGGTAACTTCCCAGGCATAACTTGACCTTCCATCTCACCTCGTAAAAATTGCTAGTCTGTCATAAATTCACTTTATTCATTAGACCAGTTTCAAAATCACCAAAATCCATCAAGTAACTAGGCTATCCTTTTAATAACATAAACAACACAGAGACAAATTTAGATTTGCCAATTAATTTATGGTACTTCAACAAAAACACAATAAATAATTGGTGATTTTATCCTAACTGAATGTCTTTGCCTTCAACAGATTAAAATTAATGTTGTGAAACTTTTAATGATAAAATAGATCTCTCAATAAGTAAGTAGTTTTTAATGATTACCACAACATAGGAAAGCAAACATTTTTGATGTCCTGGGAATAGATATAGCTACAAAGAGATCAATTTTGTAAACATAACTTAAAACATTATAATAGCAGACCCTTATTTATAAAATTATTATTAACTGTGAAAATAAAAAAGGCTTAGGATAGCACTGCATTCACGCCAAATACTGCATTAATTCCTAAAGAGAAGCATATCGCGCAGGTTAGGTGTTCAGCTTTGTATACATGAATACAGGGACTACACAGATGCATGCTGTACTTTAAATGTCTTCCTCTCTTACTCATAACAATTGGGTTACTATATATAACGTAACAAATTACTTCCAACAATGTATAAACTACTGACTAAATTTAAGTAGTTTTAGAGGAAAAGTTGCTAAGTAAAATATAAGGAGGAAAATTTTGTGGACAATAGTTGTGTGGATCCAAGTGCATTTTGATTATTTTGATATTTAACTGTGATTTCTAACCCATACAACCACACTAAACAGATGTTTCAACTATAAAAAATCATGCTGAGCCATAGCCGCTGTTTACACCACTGGAAATAGTTTGTAGTGTCATTTTAGTTTCTCAAGTTGATCAAAATTCTCAAATTTTAAAACAAATGACATAAGGAAAATAGCCTGCTGAATACTTTTACGGTAAGCTGTAGTTCAAATGTTTATCCTAGACATTTTCATTTTAAGTCAACAAAAAGAGTAGTTAGTGGTTACAAATCGAAAGACAAAAGCTGACAAGACTACTTTTTTTCCAAAAGAAACTTGGCTTCATGAAAAAAGGATCTGTTTCGATACCAATCGAGACATATATGAAAACACAATTAAATAGTCACATCCAAATGCACCTGGGGTATATACTAACAGATCTTGTATTAAAATTTAACAATTTTTTAGATAAAAAATATGCTACCTCAATCCTATCATTGAAAAATAAATTTTGTTTCCTCGGGAACATGAAACTCTAAAATCTTTGACCTTCAAATATCAATACAATCTACAACTTGAAAAAGGTCATGCTTTGTTATGGTACATTATATTAGCGTTTGTTTTAGTGAATTACTAAATTGATGAAATACTTTGAAGAACCTCTAATCACTTTAATTAACACAAATTACCAATTTCTATTTACAAAGTACAAGTATAATTAAATTTTATCCTTTATGTCTAAAATCCTGGCTTAGTTTTAACGTTATATATGTAGTTTTTATTTTGACTACTACTTTAACAACTATTCATTTACGAACGTTGTACATCTAATATTAAAAATCTGTTAAATTTATAACATTTGATGAAAAACTTATATAAATTAAACATGTTGTTATATTTTATCTGTATCGTATGCACACATAATATACCATCAACATAGAGTTTTTAAAAAAAAACTTTATGGTCTTTGATTAAATAAACTTATCATGAGGTAACAAAAACATTACCTCATCATGATGTAAATTTATCATGAGGTTCCTCGAAACGAAAACATATTTTCATAATAATTAGAAAATTAAAAACACAATTAACTTTTCATTATTTGTTGATAACATGGATAGAAATATACAAATCATAACTTTATAGTTTATACATTTGAAAGAAAATTGTAACTTTGACTTTCAATAACATGCGATAGAAAATGTAATTTCAATGGTCATAAGATTATAAGACAGATATACAAAATGATTGATGTACATCTGATTGAAAAGTTTCAAAATATCTTTTTAGATTTACGTGACACTCCTCGTAATATTCATAGTGATGAGGTTAACGGATCTTTAATCTATTTATGTGGTTCAAGTACTCTTCCAGTAGCTCTCAAAAAAAATTTAATTTTAAATAATTACAAGACAACGACATAATGCTTAGTGATCCAAAATGTGAAGCACGCAGTATTCCCTTTGGGTATTTTTAACGATTTATTTTTGTATTTACTGAATTTATAGGGGGAAAACTAGCTAAAGTCAAAACAGACAAAATGAGAAGAGAGATAGAGAGAGAGTGAGTAAAAGAAAAGATGTATAGTTGGTTAAGAAGATTTAAGTTGATAGCTAGATGCAGATATAGATAGAGAGAGGCATAGAGAGAAAGGTAGAGAGAGAGAGAGAGTGTAAAAGGGAAAGTTAGATACACTTGTAGATGGATCGATGAATAGAGAGAGAAAGAGAGAGAGCACTGGTCCCACTTCAACCTCAGTATCAATATTTGCTGATCACTACATTCGTCATAGGGATTCTGGCTTTTCTTTTCCAATTGCAGAAATGCATAAGTTTAACTAATGCAAGATGTTATTGATATTTTAAAGAGATTTTTTGTTGCATTATACTTTTATTAGATCCGAACAAAAATAAACTTTTAGAATCCCCTTTTTACAATCTTTGATACAGTATGGTATAGATGATGAGGATCAGATAGTTTTTGATACATTTTCCTAATATCTGTCGAAGTACAAATAGATATAAAAAAGTAAAAAGTCGCTACATATTAATTAAGCTTTTTAAACGGCTTTTGGTGACCCCGTGACAACCATTGAAAATAGTTTGACGATGTGTTTTTTACTTTCCACTTATACAAAAATTTATGACAAAATTTTCATTATTTGACTATCATCGCATACAAATCTCAAATACTTGATTCTTGTAGATTTGATCGCATGACAAAATTTGTACCTTATGTAACAAATTATATAAACTCACTTCAGGCACTTCATAAATACAGTTTTTATTAAACGATGGCTTGTCCATTTATTTTATTTTGATAGCATTTAATCTAACAAACAGAACATACAAAAATTCAAAATTGCAATTTTAAACTTTCAATAACAATATAAATAATACTACTTAAACAAAACTGATCTTATTATTATAAGGACTATCATATTATTATCTTTGTCATCAAATTTTAATATAAAATAACAATGCACACTAGTAACGTTGCTATAAGAAGAGAACAATATTTACATGGATAACACCCACTACTTCAATGAACTGTTGCATCAACATGACAAACACCACAGTTTCACTTCACATACATACATTTGTATGCAATGGCCTGTTCTGCGTCAGTGCTTTCTCTTTTGTGATCCCTCTTAAATATTTAGGCCTTTAGTTTTAATGTTCTAAATCATTAAATTTTTCTGCACAGTGGATTTAAAGAGTTGGAAACTGATCTTTGTACAGGATTAATGGTAAATTTAGTTTAGTTTATTTGACAGTGCAAATATATGGAAGGGGAAACAACAAAATTGCTTGGCTGCAACATTATGGTTGATTCATCAGTGGGTGCTATCTTTCTTGTGGACTCATCGACTTTTGTAACCAGAGTTCTGATTACTTACACACTATGAACTCTCTATGGCTCACACGTTATGTATGTTTATACTCTTTAATGTATATAAATACATACAGTTCAATATGCATTTATACATATGCAAATGGTCCTTTTAATAGGACAATTTATCACTTATCAATACAGTTACTATCACTCCTTACTAAAGTAGCTACAATAACTATTCAATCAGTATATATACATATTTATATATGTATATATGTATATATACACGGAGATATACATACTGTTTATTTTCATATTTATATATATGTACATCGATAGGTTCGGTTTATACAGTATCGATAACCGGTTCGAAATTCATAATATATACTTATATCGGCTTTCACTATAAAACATCCGATTATGTTTGAATCGTATAACAACAAACACTCCGATATAGAGGTGAATCACAGGCTAGCTCAGTCAATGAACACAGGGCCCTAAGTAATGACTTTTGTACAGTAACATATATGTAACAACTAGCTCTCAGAAAATCGTACGAGTTATCGAAATTTGTACCATCGAGTAGGTTGATCATACCTTCACCCGACTCCATAAATGGTCATATTAAAAAAAAATAAAAATTTTGGTATTCATTTATGAACTAAGTTTGACTTGTTTTGTACAAAAACACCGATAAAATAAGTATCCTTAATACAATAACAAACACACATAGCACGGATGCAGATGCTTAAAACCAGCTGCCTCCCCCAAACTTAGACAAGCCACCGATGCCCTTGCCCATGACATTGCCCAGCCTGCCTGCGACGTTGCCCGTGATGTTGGTCAGTTTGGCTTGTATTCCGTCCTCTCCTAGAGTCTCTCTAATGGTCACCTTCGGCTTTCCTCTATCTCCATCATCATCTCCTCCTGCCTCTCCGTACTCTCTGCAACCCGACACATACTGTTAAACAACACTACATAAAATATGATTAAACAACTAACCATGTTTTTATCCACACCAGAGGCATTTTGCTATGGCAGTTACTCATAACGCTTTTAAGGGAAAGCAGTCCAACCCCAAAATATTTTACGAATATGCCTGGGATCAAGTCCCTCTCTCACTGAAGTACAAAATGCTAACCAATAGGCTAGGAACACACCACCAGATAACGGGGCACGGGCATAAATAAATATATTAAAACTCTCAGGGGCTGCTGACATCCTGTCCTAAAAACATTAGTCTCCCTATGGCAGTTTCATGTATCCCAAAAAATGTAACATAGGTATTCAGTTTCATCTTTGTTTATGAAGCCTTTTTTCATAAAGTTTATCCAAAGTTACTGAATCAAGACATTTGTACAGTCAAATTACAATTTCAATACAGTTCCTGTATACATTATAGCCAGCCAGAGTAATAGAATGATTTTCATTTCTCTTTCCTCTTTAACTTATCACACAGCTAATATCCTAACTAAAGATAAGTGTTTCTCTGGTTTGAGGTCCTGAAGAGGATGCAAAATATTTTGAAGATTAAATTTGTTAATAATGAATAAATAAGACTTTAAACATGTTTAGAATTTATATAGATAACAAGAATCATACTATACCAGGATTAGGCAAACCCCCCCTACACAATGTATAGCGGCCAAACCAATCGTTATAGAATGTTCGTAACAACTCAAACCCCTCTGATTTTACCCCGTTGAATTTGGGGAAATTATTTTGAAACCTCCCTAACTCACCAAAAGGGTAGTTTTTGGGGGAAATGTTCAAACGTAAAGGTAGGTTAAGTGATACCTAATTTTATTATTCAATATATTTTTTTTGCAGCCATTTTTACCATGCATTGTCCACCCACATGGACCTCACCCGTGTGAAGGAAAGTAAGGGGTAAGCCGGTACAGTACAAGATGTTGAGCGTGCGAGGCAGCCCAAGGACAAAACCAGACTGGTCTGGTTTTGTCCTTGGGCTGCCTCGCGTGCTTGTACATGATTTCGTAAATATAAATGTTTCTGTATGTCTTTATATGTGAAGTATTTTTGACAACTGCTATTGCTAGAAGATAGGTTTGACATATGGTGACTGAAAAGAAAGATTTGAAAATGGGGTTTTAACCCCCGAAATTAAAGTCATCCACAAGAACATAGGACTGATTGACGACAGGTTAGTAACCACATTATATGTTATACTTTAAAAGATTTTCATCAAATGATCAGTGAACAAATACCTTTAAATGAGGTATCACTTAACCTACTTTTACATTTGAAAATTTAAAAAAAAACTACGCTAAACACCCCAAAAACTACCATTTTGGTGTGTTAGGAATATTTTTAAATCATTTTCCCAAATTCAACAGGGTAAAATGGAAGGGTTTAAATTGTTACGAATGGTCTACCTCGATTGGTTTGGCTGCTATACATTGTGTACATGTGATCTGCCTCACCCTGTATATAATATTATAAAGCTGAAAGTTTGTGTGTTTATTTGGGGATCAACTATGCATTAACTACTGGTCAGATCGGGCTGAAATTTGGCATGATAACAGCTCATATTCCCCATTAACATATGAGCTCAAGTTCCCATGTTTACCTTTTTAAATGGGTATCTTGACAGCTGTTTCAATCACATATTCTGTGAATTACTTCAAGAGGAATAAGTTATTTACTGTCCATGCATTCCTTTAATGATCAGAATACATTTTGATTTGACTACAACTGTCTAGACCTACACCCTTAGCCCTCAGTGGTGCGTTATCAGTTGTATGGCCATGCAGGTTTTTTGGTGATAATGTGTATAGATGTTTAGAAGACCTAGGAGCGATAATTTTACTGTGTTAGGCTCAATACTGGCACCTTAGTGAGTCGAAACCTCTCAATGACTAGGATCACTTTGGCAGCCAGGTATTCAACCTCTTGTTATAGTTTAACAAATAACTAGTTTCTTTGTAGGGAACCTTTTTATAAGACTACAATACTGAATTTACACTTACACAACAACTAGAAACTCTCTCTTCAGAGAATATACAAATTATAGTAAAATATCAAATAATATATATTTTCTCTGACTAAACAAACCTGAACATAAAAGACTACTTACATTGAGGTAAATTAGGACAGGGGGATGAGTTTTTGCTTACAAGATGTAATATCTAATAATAATCAATGATGTGACATTTGATTGAAAAAGTTCTTTGAAAGGTATCGTCATACAGTATGATGCTATGGGTATCAATACGTACATAGGAGTTGCATACAGTAAGGTATCGTCATACATTGTGACGCTAAGGGTATCAATACGTACATTTTACGAAATGCCGGCCATTTTACTATACACAAAGGGTATTGACACGTAAGTTTGACGTATGCGTTCCAAGAAACCGACTAGCAAGGACATAAAGAAACACACTACGACCCAACCAAGGCAGCCGTCACAAGGCAAATTACTGATGAGAGCACTGCTGGAAGGAGGGTAGCGTCAGTTGTGGTGGTGGGGGGTGCGACGCTAAAAACAACTCGCCCTATGTCAAATTTATGTGAGATACTCATCTGGGCAAATATTTAAATCATCATTATTTACAACCCTGAATTGTAACGTTTAGAATATCACGGTAACCAGAGAAATTTCAGGTACATAAATCAATTGGAGCTAGAGCATCACACAACTGTGATTTCTGATAAATATTTGGAACTCAATCTGTTATGACCAAACATTTCACACAAAAGTTAAAAATACAAGGGCTGTCCAGAATGCAAAAGGCATTTTAAAGTAAGAAATAAACAGGGTAACACACATTCATTTGGCTTGGCTAGAGACATGTTAAAGATGAATAGTTTGCCTACTCACACAGTATAATATCCTCTGCATCGAAATCGGCTACCTCTAATTGTGAATGTTGGTTTATACTGTCAGGATGCATGGTTTCAACAACTGCTGTGATAAAGAAGCTTTTGACTAGAGTTAAAAAACTAAATTCTATAAAAAAAAAAAATTGAGAAAATAGAGTTCTGTATTTGTCAAATATTAATGTTTATGTTCTTTCATGTCTACTACCTGTTTCATCACTAACAAATGTAAGCCTACCAGATGCAGTGTTTTCTCTGACAAACAATTTGAACATTAGTTTACTTGAGCTTAATCGGTGTTTACTCTTTGGGTACTGTAAGAGTAAATGACAGTTTATGGCAAACCCATTTCAGACCTGACAAAGTTTTAATTGCAGTATTTTTTACTACATCTTGCTGCAGGCAAAGTAAAAGACACACAATGCAAAGGCTGCTCAGTCTAGAAACACTTAAGCACCAAAATGATCACACTTATCCTATTCACAGTTGCTTCAACAAACAACTGTTACTTTCTGGACAGTCCTTGTATGATGAACAGCTTTACAAACACTTCAATTATTCAGAAAACATGAACTAGAAAACCAATTGACATAAACATTGAACAAAACAAACAGTATTAAAAGATACTTTGAAGACATGCAAAGCATAGAAAAAGTAAGAGAGCAATTGTGAAGATTGTTAAAAAATTGTCCAAATTACTTCAAGCCCAGATAAGATGACACCTGTTTGGTAAGATTTGGATTACAATAAGTGCAGATAAACAAAATATTTTGAGAAATTCTCAAATAATGTAATGTGTTGTATGCTGGTGCTGGATGTTTAGTAAAATTATCCATAAAATTTTACCCATCCACTAACAATTTACTCTACAGATAAAATATGACCCTGTGATTAGTACCGTAATCATTACTAAGAACAAGTCTAATTTTGGAAGGGTTACAATCAAAGGAACCTATTTCCCCTTACAATATTTCCCGTTAAACATTGCATGCAATGAATGGAACGGCCAACTTAACCATTGCTTTAAAGTTGGAAGTTAAAGAGTAACATACAAAAATGTTGAAACACCAATCTAGCCCCTACCTTCTATCACAGCCTCTCGCCATCACTGAAAGTTGGCACTCTAGTGTCAAAACAATATATTCTCTCTGGCTTCTTATTGTTCTCCTTTCCTTCTGTCATTCTGTCTTGTTTTCAATCGAAAGAGAATGTTTGAATTGTTTTGAGTTATGGAATATTTTTTCTTGAATTTGAATTCCTGACTTTTGGGACTGTGGGGAGGATTTAAATTTTGTAAGAGAATTCTTGGTGTTGTGGTTGCTAAGTCATAAAGTATTCAAATAAAAATAAGAACTGAGGTAAAAATATAGGTTCTTTCAGATATAAGAAACTGTGACTTATTTGTTTTATGATACATACATACACACAATAATACTGTAAGCCTTGGGAGCTCACGTGGACAGACAAATTATTGCGTAAAAGAGGCCACATCTTTAAAAATATAATTATATATGTATATTTTTGGAGGAAACAGCCAAAAAGCAATATTTTTTATCTGATATTACCAGGTCAGATCAAAATGTAGCTCCCTAAGTTTGCAAACTGTGCAGAATATAGAAGAAAACTAACAATCGTGACGCCATTGCCCACAATAATATAACTCCTAGTTTATAAATTGTCTTATTCAATACGTTACGCTATAAATATATTTTTAAAGTAAATAAATAAAATGAAACCTTCATTTGCCATTATGGTGATGAGAATTGACTTTGACAGGTCTCCAATTGGATTAATGTAAAGTTTCCAAAATCATAAAAAATCTCAAATTAGTGTCCAGAACTTTTGAAATTTTTAACTATTGAAAACACTATGAAATTCAGAACAACAGATACGTGAATTAAATGTAAATTATTTCGCCCAAGCATTGTTTAGATACTCCTGTTGTAGCAAACCAGTAACCTAAAAGTATTTGCAGTAGCTTTGTTAAATTGTTATTCAAACATGTGCACAATTGAGAAATTTACACTTATAATCACACCTGTTATAAATATCATAGAAGGAATTATTTTCCAAGAAAAAACTTCAGAGAAATTGTTTTGAA